CAGACCTTCCAGAATTGTCCGGTTGGCATTCTCGACCTGTCCGTTTCCCTGAGGATAAGCCACTGACGATCGGATAGATGTTGTCCCGATCGTTGCAAGGAAGTTTTGAAAGTATTGGCTTACAAACTGTCAGCCATTGTCGCTGATGAGGTGAACGGGCACGTCGAATCGGGAAACGACATTCCGCCAAAGAAACCTAGCACACTGTTGGGAAGTGATTGTGGCTAATGGCTCGGCCTCGATCCACTTGGAGAAATAGTCGATGCCTCGATGGCGACAATGACTAACCGTCTCCTGCTGGATAGTTGTGGGAATGGCCCCAAAATGTCTACCCCCACCTAGCAAAAGGAATTGCAGTCGTGACCGGCTGGTAGAAAGTGGCCGGTCGTCCAGGCATCCGAGCAAATAATTGGCACGTCTCGCACCCTCTTGCAAGTTTCTCACAATCTAGCTGAAGAGACGGCTAGTAATACCCGATCAGCATGATACGGCGGGCTAATGATCGTCCTCCTTGATGCGACGAGCAGATGCCCGAATGCAATTCCTTCATTACCAAATCAGCTTCGAACGCTGTTAAACAACGCATGAGCGGGCCTCCATACGACCGCATGTACAGACGACCATCTTGGACCTGAAACCTTGGAGCTCTGAGCTTGGCTTTCCGAGCACCCTGGGGGTCGTCTGGTAACCGACCATGCTGGAGGTATTCCATCAAATCCGTGATCCAATTGTCCTCCGCCGATTGGATGGGTACGACCGGCAACCGGTGAATGTTGTGCCTCGGGATTACTAAAATCCGAGCAATTTTAGATATGTGTTCCAGGGCGTCTTGTGCCAACTTAGACAAGATGTCTGCATCAGCATTGTCTAGTCGGGGAACATGTCGAATGGTGTACCCCCAGAACAAGGTGAGCTTCTCCATAGCAAGGTCCCGGTAGGCTTGTAATCGCTCACCATTTACTTCATAGTCACCCAGGACCTGTCCGACCACAAGCGCAGAATCTGTCTGAGCCCGGATGTAGTCAGCCCCCAAATCCTGATCGCATTGTAGGCCGTTGACAAAGGCCTCGTACTCGACTTCATTATTGGTCGGATGGAACTGATACATCAATGCAAAGTATACTTTGATACCCTCCAGGCTTGTGACCACGACCCTTCCCCCTGCTCCTTTTTTGCTACTTGATCCGTCAGTGGCCAATGACCACCACGCCGCCTCGGGGTCCTCAACCTCCGGGGGTCAGGTTTCCCGAGCGATGCACTCGACCAAGAAGCCTGCCAACGCTTGACCCTTTATTGCTGGTCGTGGACGGTACTCAATGGCATACTAAGTCAGCATGAGCGCCCACTTAACTAAGCGCCCTGAAGAATAAGCGGTGCGGAGTACTGGTCCGATGGGCTGATCAGTCAACACATGGATGGCTCTACCTTGAAAGTAAGGAGCTAGCTTCTTCGCAGCTATATACAGAGCATAGACCACCTTCTCTAGCCGGGAGTACCGGAGCTTGGGACCATGGAGCGCGTGGCTCACATAGTAAACCGGTCGCTAGACTCCCCCCGAATCGGTTCGGCACAAAACTGCACTTACTGCTCGATCGGATACGGTGAGATAAACCTCTAACTGCTCCCTGAGCTCTGGCTTCGACAATACGATCGACGACATAAGATATTCCTTCAACTCATCGAAAGCCGCTCGGCATTCATCGTCCCAGACGAATCCATTTACTTTGCGCAATACCTTGAAGAATGGTAAGGCGCGCTCGTCTAATTTGGAGAGGAAACGGCTCAAGGCTGTCAACCGGCCGGTCAATTGTTGAACCTCCCACACGATAGTGGGCGGTTGCATATCCAGAATAGCCTTGACCTTGGCCGGGTTGGGCTCGATCCCTCTTTTAGTCATCATGTAGCCAAGGAACTTCCCCGTTTGAACCGCAAATATACACTTGTTAGGGTTCAATCTCAGCTGGTACCTCCGCATAATCTGAAAACATTCCCGAGTGTGGTCGGCCCGGTCCCGACTCTTGACCAGCATATCGTCTAAGTATGCTTCCATCGTTCGGCCCAAAAGATCTACAAAGAGCATGTTGACCATCCTCTGATATGTTTCTCCTGCGTTGTGAAGGACGAACGGCATCACTCGGTAACAGTATAGCCCATCCGGGGTCACGAAGGCTGTCTTGCTCTCATCTTCATGGTGCATCATTACCTGGTGATAACCCTTACAGCCCGTTTGGTTCACGGAATAAATTTGGAGGGAATAGGAATGCTATTACATATGGAATGGAATAGGTAAGGAATAGAATAAAAATTGTATTCTGTTATTTGGTTCACTGAAGGAATAGACATTGGGAACTGTATTCCAATGTTTGGTTGGTTAAGGAATAAGAATAGAATATATGTTTAAAAGACATAAATGTCCTTGTACAAAAAATATTGTTATTATTATTATTATTATTATTATTATTATTATTATTATTATTATTATTATTATTATTATTGTTGTTGTTGTTATCATTATTATTATTATTATCATTATTATTATTATTAACACCACCACTACTAGGCATCAATAAATCATCATTCCATAATCAACTATCTAATCAACTTCCTGGTAATCAACATATCACCATTATTCCCTATCAATAATATTAAAATAATGATTTGTAAATTATGAAACAAAATAGTCATATAAATAACAAAATTTTTAAAGAACATTTAACAATATTCAGGAAAAGCATAACATATGTTATTTTTGACAAAATACTCAAAACAATCCAATGAAAGTTACAATGTTCATAAAATATAACTATGAATTCATAGCAAGGAATCTTCTTATCCACTGTAGTCTTCGATCATGATCAAGACTGAGCAAAAAATCTACTTTATTATTATTATTATTATTATTATTAATTTTATTATTATTATTATTATTATTATTATTATTATTATTATTATTATTATTATTATTATTATTATTATTATTATTATTATTATTACCCAACACAAATCCACACCCAAACTAATTCTACGCAAATCCATACCCAACACAAATCCACACCCAAACTAATTTCTACGCAAATTTATACCCAACACAAATCCATACCCGCCGCCGCAGTGCCAACTGCCAAGTGCGAATCCAATTACATTGATGATGAGGACGAGTACAGTTCCTCCACACTTACGCGGCCAGCGGCTCAGTTGCTGTCGTTAAGGAGTCTAAGATTTTCGGCAGTCGATGATTCAGATGATGGCAGCGATGGATATGTGGTCGGAGGAGGGTCTGGAAGTACTCTGCCTCCGATGATTCAGATGGTCGCGATGAGGCGTCGACTACAGCTCTGCCCTCCGATCGTTGATCCACCGGCGAGAGGGCGCGATTGTGATTGGAGGACCATCAACGCCTAAGGGGCGGTACACGGCGGAATAATATGAGTTTGGGGATGTTTCTGGCGGTGCCGAAGGGGCGGTATACGGCGGAGACATGGCCGGGTTCGGAGGAGTTCCTAGAGGTGTGGGGCGCGTCGATGCCGGAGGTTTTCAGGCCGTTTGGGCTGCATTTTCTGTTGCTGGAGATGTTTCTAGGTCGGTGGTCTCATCGGCACTGCCTGAGCTTTTGCGGATTCAACAACTTCGATCCGGAGAGACGTATCTTGAACCATGGAGTCATGTATTTCGAGTGTTTCAGTTGCTGCCCTGGGTTGTAGCAGTTCAACAATGGCAGAGACTAATCAGAGAGAGAATCATATCCAAAGAGATGCAAAATAGAGAGAAAGGGAGAAAGGGTAAAATAAGAAATAAAATATAACATCTATTCCTGAGGACTCAGGAATAGGTTAATACCAGGGGGTCCCCTAGTAATAGCTATTCCCCTTGTAAGGGGAATAGGTCCTTCCTAGGAATAAAATTTTTTACCAAACAATAGAATAGGCTTATTACTGGGAATGTTATGCCATTCCAGGCCTATTCCGTGAACCAAACGTGCCATTAAAGGCATCCATGAAGCTCATGAGCTCGGCCCCGGCCGTCTCGTCGACCATTTGATGAATGCTCGGGAGCGGGTACGGGTCGAGCGGGCATGCTTTGTTGAGGCCAGTAAAGTCTATGCGCATCCTCCATGCTGGGGGCTTGGGAACAAGAACAATGTTAGCCACCCACTCGGGATAGATAACCGGTCGGATGTGCTCGATCGCCGCCATCTTTTTTACCTCTTCTCTCATGAATTCTCGGCGATCGGAAGATAAATGCCGCGTCTTTTGAACGACCGGCTTCGCCGCGGGATCTACGGCAAGTTTATGGCAAATGACTGTTTAGTTGATCCCGGGCATGTCCTCGGGCCCCCACGCAAAGATGTCGGCAAATTCCCGACGAATTGTCAATACTTCCAATCGCAGCTCGGGGGTAAGGGCCCGACCAATCTTTATCTTCCTGTCCGGTCGGTCCTCGGACAAGGGAACTTCTTCGATTTCCTCGGAAGGTTCAGGTTGCTCCTTCCGATCACTGGTTGCTTCCTTTACGATCGTATTCACCCGGGAAGACATGTCAGTATCACGCTTGTTGACGGCCTGGGTGTAACATTTTCTCGCGGATTGGACATCTCCGCGTACCACACCGACCCCATTTGGGGTGGGGAATTTCATGCATAGATGGGGCATTGAAATTATCCCACCGATCTTCATTATGGCGGGTCGGGCCAAGATGATGTTGTGGACGCAGTGCAGATTTACCACAACAAACTCCAACTCGGTTTTAACAGACTTTGGCGGGGTGCAGATCTCGACCGGGAGTGTGATCTTGCCTTCGAGGCGAATGAGGGCGCCGGTGAATCCCGACAAGGGTACGCCGACCGGAATCAGCTCGCCCTTGTCCAAGTTAAGCTTCTCAAATACGTCCAAATAAAGGACGTTAACACTGTTCCCCATGTCCACCATGACTCTATGGACATCAGTCCCGTTCACATCAATCGTGACCACGAGGGCTTCCAATCCGTGGTCACCACCGTTAGGTTAATCCTCCAGGGTGGAGGTGATGGGCTCCATCTTCTGCCTTTTCCTGGTATCACGGGAATTTACGATCGCGACTGGGCAATTCTCCCTCGGTCCGGAAGCGTCCTCCAAACCGCCAAAGATCACATGGATGGTCGGTTTGGCCGCTGGTCGGCTGCTAGATTTAGGGTCCGGGTCCCTATGGTCTTGACCCGACCGATCTGAACGATCGGAGCGATCTGAGCGGTGGTGAGAGCGCCTGTGATCTCTCTGGTCGGTATCCTTCTTTGTCTCTTCCCTTTTACCCACACACTTATTCAGCTTTCCCATACTGAGCAAGTCTTCCAACAGCTGCCTTAAGTGTGTGCACTCCTCCGTGTCATGCCCGACACAACGGTGATAAGCGCAATGCTTAGATTTATCCGGTCCGTCTTGCCCGGGATGAGGGAGGCGAATGAGATTGCAGGACTGGGCGTACTGCATGGCTTCCGCCGCAGATCGGTTCAAAGACGTGAACTCGCCAGGCCGGGTGCGGGGTAGGGGATGATCATCACCCGATCGATGCTCCGCCCGACCGATGGGTTTACAGGATGAAGTCCCGACCTCTTGCGATCTCGTGACGGCATTCGCTTCTCCGGCGTTAGCGTAATCCGTCACCCTTCGGAGGGCCTCTTCGTACGTGGTCGGGGGATGGAGGATGAAGTCCTAGTATAAATAGCCGGCCCGGAGGGAAATATGGAGCATATGGATGGCCGTAAGATCGTCCATTGGTTCAACCTCCCTGACCGCGGCTTTCTACTTGACCAAAAAGTCGGACAAGCTTTCCCCCTCCAGCTGCTTGGCCTTCTCCAAGTACATGTAGGGCTTTCTCACAATCTTGGAAGTAACAAACTTCCGCATAAATTTCACTGCCAAAGTGGCAAAATCCGAGATGGAACCCGGCTGCAACATTCGAAACCACTCCGCCGCTCGACCGGAAAGCGTGGAGTAGAAAGCCCTACACATCACGGCGTCAGACACGCCCATCATCATCATGTTGTCGTAGTAAGTATTGACATTGACCTCAGGGTCCGTACGGCCATCATAACCTTTGTTGCTCGGGACTTGCAGATCGAGCGGGTAAGGCTGGGTCATTATCTCCGCCGTGAAGGGTGTCCTCAGTAAGGAGGCTGATTGATCGACCAGGGGCCTTATCGCGTGCTCGTTTTCAAACCAATTAAACTCTTCTTGGAGGTCGTTAAGCAATCCCCGGGTCTCATTAAGCTCGATCGTCTAGGCGTGGGCCGATTCCCAGGCGCGTCATCGACGATGTGATTTTGACCCACTATGCGCAGATGAACCCTTCTGGCTGGCCTCTCTCATCGGTGAATCTACTGAGCGCCGGCTTGAGTCCTGTGGTCCCAATCGTTGCCGCATGGCTGGACAGAGCCGCTCGAATGCTACTGCTCGGTTGGCTCCAACTTCGGGGTCCTTCGCTTGGGCTTGTAACTCCGACTGTACCTGCTGGGCCTGCCGTGGTACCTCCATGGCCTCGGCACCCTGCGACCCCAACCTCGAACGAGCCGAGCACCTAGCCCGGGAAGTGGGCTGAAGCTCCGGCTCGGTCGGACCAGTCGAGTAAATCGAAGGAGCGGGGGCTGGAGCCGTGTGCGCAGGCGTGTAAGGGGGATAGTCAGTCGGTGGTGTATAATAGATCGACTGGCCGGGCCAGTACCCATACTGTGGAGGTGGGACCAGGTACGGATACTGCCCAGGGAAAGGGAACTGCTGACCGGGAGTTGAATATCCCGGTTGAATGTAGCTAACCGGTTGCTGGGCGACCAGGTACTGTGCTGCCGGGTGTGGCGGTGATAGGTTGAGGTTGAGGTCTACAGTCTGACCTTGATACTGAGTGGGCTGATGATCGGATGAGCTCGATGCATCTGCTTGATCATCGCATAGGGTGTGATACATGAATGGATACATTGTGAACCGGTTGCTCGTCAGACGTTAGCTTTCGTGCACGGGTCCCCACGGACGGTGCCAAAATGATAGTACTAATTCCACGTAATGCGGTTAAAGTAATAATATGACCAAGTTAAAGCAAGTAAATCTTTTATTGATCGTTTTGAAGGACCTAATACAATCTAAGTGGCTATTCTGAGGGCCGACTGACTGCGGTCGTGATGCTCTGTAACTAGTCTATCAATCGTTCAAAAAGTCCCCCACACTGTTGCCGTCGTGGGTATTTATAGCCGCTAGGCCGGAGACACAGCTCCGGCCGGCCGGCATGTAACCCACGTAGCAACCACGTGTCTCCACCCCGCGAGCCCTACCTGTCAGCGCGTAACGTTGCCACGTGCTTCTTCTCAGCTCTGTCATCCAAGGGCCATCGATCGAGTGTTGAAGACGTCGGTCGGGAGCTGTACCGGTCGGGTCCAATCGGGTTCCTTCAGGAATATCCGACCTGTAAACCTGCATAAACAACAATAAAACACGTGGCATGTCGGTCGGGGTATTCCCTACCAGTAACAATTATAATCAATCTCACATATATTATCATGCATTTATATACTTTGAATTACTGATTTAAATAAATAAATTCAACATTCAATTGTTTATACGTATGAACATCTCATAAATAATCAGGCGCGGTCCTATCATTTTATAGGTCCGGGGCCTAGCAACTAAAACGGGCCCTACATGAAATTAATATACATTTTTATAACTAAATTTTAAATTAAATAAGGTTAAATACTAATGTCAAATAACTTGAAATAAGATACAAATATTTTTTTTAACAATTTACATATAAATGAAAACAATTCTTGCCAAAGGCTTTGTGGCCTAGTGATATGGTTACAACTTCTCATATGAGAGGTTTTAGGTTCAAACCCTAGTATGGGGTTGAGAAAGTATGTATGAATAGTTTATAAAAACAATTTTTAATTAATTCGATAAAATAGTTCGAATAGAAAACACATTATAAATCACATATTTTCTATATTGATATCATATTTATAAATACTTTTTCATTTAGTTAGATCTATTTCAAGTTTTTTCTAGATTAATTTGAATACGACAGACACACAAAAGAAGTAAATGATCTTTTAACATAATTTTCATAACTAAATCACAAAATATATTAGGTATACATTATTCATTATAAAGATCACAAAATAACACGTGTTCTAAATATAAGTAGTAAATTACTCGAATAGAAATAGATTCAAAATTTGAGATGAATCACAAATCAATTTATATTATAAATCTCACTATAATTATAGAAAGGTAAAAAAAACCACAAAATTACAAATTATAAATAGAAATAAATTGCATAAGTTACAATTTTAATACTACGTAATAATATATCTAAATTCATCTTTTAAATAGTAGGGAGTGAAAAATTAATATAAAAGGTCACAAAATAACACGTGGTAGTAAATTACTAAATTAGTCAAATAGAAATTGATTCAAAATTCATTTTCTAAATCACAAAGAGTGCAGTTTGACCCCTTAACCTTTTGCATGCAAACATGGAATTGTACCAATTAAGCTAGCTAATATTTGAGTAAAGTGGATATATATTATTTACTAATACAATAACTCTATAGTATATATATAGTGGGGTGGGGCGGTGGGCCCCTTCCAAGTGTGGGTCCTGGGCAAGGGCCCAACCTGTCCTTGCCCAGGACTGGGCCTGTAAATAATCTTGTATTTATATATGTTGAAGTACTTATTTAAAAATAATCATTGAACATTATCCTATTCGTATAATGCGCGTGAAAAATTAGTATAAAAAAAAAACAATCTGTTTCAGGGATCCTCATAGAGAATTTCCTATTTTATTTTATTTTTCAGTTAAGCAGCGCAATTTGCAAGGAAATTGCGTCGGTGCATCCAATGAAAATGAGGCGCAGGTGAAACTTTAGGTGCTTACTTCAGAACACACGTAATTTGTGTTACAAATATATTATTAATGGACATTATTAGTATTTATTCTTGTAACGGTTGAAACGGTTTTTAGAATTTATTGTATTGATTATCTTGTACCCTATATATAATGTACCATTGTACAACAGAATGAAAAGTGAATGAATATGAGAACCCCTTTTCTTTCCTATTCTATTTTTCTTTACAACACGTTATCAGCACAGATGCTTTGACCAATGGATTATCAATTCCGACATCCAAAACAAGATTAGCAGCGTGATCATTGACGAGAAGCCACAAGACGAAACCCTAGGTTCGTTTGTCCAAAAGGGGTACAATCGCGAGATGTCGCTTGATGTTGGGATGGATGAGCGACGGAATACCCCCAGTGAAGTTTTTTTCTCTGCGCCGATCCCCAAGCTGCGTCTATCTCAGGCCCCGTCAGCCTTGATGCTTCCATCTCGTACGCTTCTGCGGCCGTCCCCTCCGTGATACGGCGAACGTAATCCTCTTTCCAGACTGTGTGCGCGTATATTAATACGCGAGGATGGAATAGAGATTTCCGCGGCAACGTCGTCCGGCGCCGGCGGGGGCGACAGAGGTGGGTCGGCCAAGACCATGGTGGCCGATCTGATCACTCAGTCTGTCCAGTCCACCTCCAATCTTCACGATTCAAGCCATGATATGATGGTGAAGGCACCGTCAAGGTCCCCGGACCAGGTCAGCCTTCTCCCCATGCCTCCGCTCGGTCACGCCCCAGGAGGCGTCACGGCTCTCCGACCGCCGGCGGCTTAGTAGTCACTGTCCAGGCACCTATGCGGGTACGTTTTCCTCATTATTATTGAACAGTGACTTGCTGTGATGCTATGTTTAGAAATCTACGTGCGGTGATAATGTGATATGCTATAAAGAAAAGGGATGTCTAATTCGCGTAGCCTTTTCCATCTCCTATGATGTGGTTCAGTCCATGGTGCGCTTTTCCCTGTAACTGTAGCAGATTCATAGAATGTTGCTCCCAGGCCACTTCTATTGTGAACAGAGTGTACAAGGAGTAGTGTTCTTCATGCTTTATCTAGGATAGTAATCTTCCTGTTTGTGTGGTAGTATAAGAATGAACGGAACTACTATGTAGATTAAAGAAATGCGATCCTTATTATTAAATTAAGAAGAGTGGTAAGAAAGTGGGTACCATTCGTGAAACTCTAATAACAGTTCCTGATCTTGAAGATGATATGACAAAGATTCATAGCATAACTCTACTATATTATTGATAGATAATGGTGTCTAGAAAGAATGATCTTCACATATAGTAATCTGAAAAATTCTGACCGGCACAACTTGAAAACTAAATTCGTGAAAAATACTTGTTGAACTCCGTTTGGCCTGAAATTTTTTCTGGAGAACCTAGACTTATGATATTTGATGTCTTTAAAAAGAATTTCTCAAAAATATGCTTTGGTTGTTCCAGAAAAATTCCGTAAAGTTCTGGCAGTGTCCTGCCAGTTATTTTTCTGCCTGGCGCAGTGTTGGAAAATTTTTTGAAAAAAATACTTCCAGACCTTTAATTGGCATGAAAATTTTTATGTACATTCTAGATTTGCTGAACTTCGTATCTCAATTTTTTTTTTGCCAAAATGTGTTACCATTTCCTCCCAGAAAATTCTGCAATTTGGGTCAAAGTTGCTGAAATTTGCTATCAATTTCAATATCTTGAATTATTTGAGCACCTTGAGAAGTTGATTATTTGAGAATATACACATATATTTGCATGATGATAGCAATACTCACATTGCATCAGACTTGGTATTTGAATGCCTAATTGGTTTTTGGGATAGCAAATTATGATGTTGGCAACACAGTTTCATTTGTTCATAATATAATGTGCTCAGAATTTGTGAACTTCTATTTGTTTAAATTTGCTTTGTAGCTATGTGAACCATAAAACAAAGAGGATTTGTTGTTTTCTCTTGTTGATAAAAAATATTTGCTATAGGCCATGAATGCTACAACGTGAAGCAAACTTTTTAAGACAAATATTTTTAAAGGCATAGTATTATTGAGCTTTAAATCATAAAACAGTGAGATAGTTCTGTTAATGTGCACCTGTCGTTGCTAAACCTTAGATTGCATGTGATTAAATGCTACTATGACTTGTTAAATTTATTTGCATAAAATTTGTTAGGCTTAATGCTGCCCGGGCATTGTACAATGCTCTTGGCTTTGCTCAAGAAAAATTTTAACAATGATATGGAGCGGGATTATATTATGAGAGCTGTGGCTACTCTTTCACCAAAAGTGAAAATTCGACAAGATTTTTTTTTAATGTTTGGTGTCTAACTTCATCAACATACTACGAGATGTTAGCTCCATGCATGCAGGTCATATTTTTGCTCATATTATTTATGACATTTTTTTCGGAAAGTAAATTAAGCATTTTTAGAGGAAATATTTTTTTGGGGATCTTAAAAATTGAAAAATCAATATGATGATCCACTACATATCACATACGCTAGTACATGATGCATTTCCCTATCTGCGTTCATTTTTTTTTAGTATGCAATAATGATGTTGGTTGCATTATAAGATCTTTTCTCGGCATTAGGGGGAGATTTGAAATTTCTAATTAATTAAATGCCGAGAAATTGATAAAAATCTTCAAACTCATGTACTAGCCTTATAGAACCAGAAGTTCAGACATTGAACAAATTATCTGCTAGAAATCCGAAAGAGTGACTAAAGTCCATAGAAAATATTTTAAGAGTTAGAAATCCCCAACTAGGACTAAACATCTCTACCATTATGCCAAAAGCATATATTGGTTTAAGAATTTACAAAACTAGATCTAGTATAGAAATTTCGTCACTCCAGAAATATAGAAATTTTATCCTGAAGATATTCGTCTAGAAGGTGAAAACCCCAGTAAAATTGTAGGTGCACCAAATAACTAAAATACTGGGAAAGCGGAACAACCAAATCCAAATACTCTTGGGAAATGCCATATATTTGGTTGATACAAAATTGCCATGTGTATAAAAGATATCTACAAAGCTGTT